ATATAGTACTGTCTGATGGTTTATTAGAGAGGAATTTGGTTAAGGCTGACCTGAAGTATTTAAACTATTGCATTGGGAAATGTCTGTGACTTTGCCAGAAAACTGACCTCCTTTGGCGAGACGATACCCAGTCATGGGAGGAGCTGCAGAGATAAACAAGAGTACCCCAAAGCGGAAAAAAATATGCCCGTGAATATCCAAAACAGCAAAGGGGCATAACTCTTATTCAAATCGTCTAATCAAAACCTTGTTCAGCAAAACACAAATTCAAGTTTCATAAAGATCGACTGAAAAATGTTGGAGGAGATCTCCGGGCAAGATTTCTATAGTGAAGTAAACAAAGGGCCATAACTCTTGTTCAAATCACCAAATCAAAACCCTGTTCAAGAAAACACAATTCATATCATGGTGATTAAGCCTACCAAGTTTCATAAAGATTGGCTGAAAAATGTAGGAGGAGATCTCCGGACAAATAAAAGTTTACGACGGACGCCGGATGGACGGATTGACAGTGCCATACCATAATACGTCCGTCTTTCGATGAGCGTATAAAAGCCTGTCAAGTAACTAACAAACCTGAAACGAATGTGTAAAGAGAATTCAACGTTACAATAAATCAGAGAAAGGAAGGGTAGGTAATCGTACCTGGTGATTAGGAGTAGCTTGTGGGCATGCACCTCAAATTTTGTCCAATTATGTAAAACATGCTACAATAATTAATGTATTACTGATTCTGTACATTATTGTGAGCAGTCATTGTTTTTCACAAAGGACTCCCAGGTTAGAGCCTGGATCTAAGTTGTTACAAAGCAAGGCTCACTAGAATTTAGTGGTTATCAAAAAAACATATCAAGCAGGTCGGTGTTGGATGTTAACTGCTGTATGTGGTTCACTGCAAGTTGAAGCTAAATACTCAGTTTGACAAGAGAGGTATATGTCTGCTCATGTTATGATGTACTTGTAAGAAGTGCCTGGTCTTATTAGCTTTGTTTGCAGTTGATATGATGCAACTTCTCCGAGGTCTGCGTTGGTTAGGTCTCCTTTATATTTACTTGCTTGGGTATTTTCAAGAACTTCACTACAAAGTTTGCGTTGATTTATGAAGGGAGATTAATTTTGTTTTCAGTGAAATCTATTAATACAACAATTCCTGGCTTTGAAGTTTATCTGACAGATTTCTCCCCATCTCTAATTTACTGAGGTCAGCTTGGAGGAAATCACAACCTTGTTTTGATTGCTCTTTCTCCCATACTTGATGCTGAAGAAGTATGGCTGTGCAAGTTTTTCAGATTTTACATACCAGTGCACAGTACATATCTAATTTACCAGTCGTGAATTTTAAGATTTCAAATAATAATTGCAAGCTTGACCTCACTGCTATTATTCTGCAGGTCAAAACAACTAGGCTAGGTATGGTAAGAAATCCTTCCGATTTGAGGTGACCCAGGTGTGGAACAGTCTACCCTATGAGTTAAGAAAGGCTGAATCCTTTCTCATCTTCTGGAAACTGTTATAAACTTGGGACGGCTCAATGTATAGTTACAGCATACATGTATGTCGCTTGCATTACCTATAATTTGCTTACTGTCCAAGTCCATTTTTTTTATAATCTTTACCACTTTTTTAATCTGTTTTAGTGTTTGTAAAACTTTTATATAGCCATTCCTAAAACTATCTCTCATAAAAGTTGCATTGTTGTTTTAGAGCATGCTATCAGCAGAGACTTATATAACACATACGTCTCTGCTATCAGGTTGTTTCCTGTCAACTTGTACAAAGACAAAACTTGTGCTTTCCTGTAATAAATTAGACATTTTCCAATGATATTGAACATAAGACATTACCTGTGTTATCCTGGTCAGTCAGTACTGATTGAATTACATCATTGTTGCAATTAACACATTTTCCCATATAGGTGATGTACATTGATATGTCAACTTGCAATCCCACACGTGTGTCTATGGTGGTAAGGAAATATCACATGAAAAATAACCGCCTTTCACAGTACATTCGATAAGCACGAATTCTTCAGGTTATTTACTTAATTTCTATTCTTCCAAATATTTCAAGCATTATGACCTATACTGTAACTTATATGATGTCAAATATGTCTCATATTGCTAATTACTGCCTTGCAAAGGATAAATCTTATCTATTTCATATTTCTACAGCTCCAACGTAATAACGTACAGCAGGTGCGACGGGAGGTAACTCTTACAAGTAATAGACACACTGAAAAAGTCAACTTCACACGCACCAATGGAAATGATATGACATGTTGTTTCATTAATATAATTATTTCTCGTATATACGATGTCTGTAATTGTAAATTCGAAATCTCGCTTATTAATGTTCCATCCTTTTTTCAAATCTTAACATACCGTGACAATCAAATTTGGATTACTAATTCCCGGTTCCCACTCCGTACTCCTTGTTCCCACCTCGTACTCCCTGTTCCCAACCCGTACTCCCTGTTCCCATCCCGTACTCCTTGTTCCCACCCCACACTCCCTGTTCCCGCCCCTTACTTCCAATTCCCATCCCGTCTTCCTATTTCCTGTCCCATATCCAAGTTTTTCTTCTTTCTAAATGATATTGGACGATTCTGTCCGAAAACGATCTACCCATGTGTTTGTCTCAATACCGACTGTTACAGTTAAATCCTGATGAAGGAACATTTGATAATTACAGTCAATTAAGACACTGGTTATTCTATAATAAATTATAATATAATAATACCACATCTGTTAGCTGTCGTCGCTTCCTCAATTCTGTCCACATTGTGATTCCAAATAAATGTAGATACGGATTTACAAAACGCGGGATTTTTGTCTTTGTTGACAACGTTCAAATATATACACTGTTGGTCTTAAGGCTGTGTAACCGCATGCCTTGAGGTCATCTTGGCACTTTACAAAAGTCCCAAGAGGGAATATTGCGGTCCATCATAGAAAGATCTTTCTCAGTTCTGTGAATGAATAAACTTCTACTTTTCTCGTATTAATTACATATTGATATGTTTTATTGACAAAAATTGCCGGTACACTGTTCTTTGGACTACTCCGGAATATTGAACAAGAATAACAAAGCAATTTGGAAATATATTTCGAGTACTTACTCAAAAATACTTTATTTGCCAAAGTACTTACTACCGGTTCCGAACCATTTATTCCCGGAATCCTGCCTACAGTGAAACAAACTGTTTTATTTCATATATCTATTTCTTGCTAAAGCATTACACGATAAATACAGATAGTCTGATATTTAAATGAACGAAAAAAATCCGCAAGAATTAGATACTCACGGATTAATAACAGACGTGGACCAAACTAAATCTGAGATAGCCATAGGTACAAATGCGATGAAAAAATATTGAATTAAAAAAAATCGACGGAAATAATTGTTAAAGGACTGAAAAAATAAATATCAACAAAGGAGGACTGATATAATTATAGAAGGATTGAAATTAGAAATATCGACATAGGAGGGCTGAAATAGATGTAAAAGAACTGAGATAAGAAATATCGACATAGGAGGGCTGAAATAATTATAAAATGGACTAAAATAAGAAATATCGACATAGGAGGGCTGAAATAGATGTAAAAGAACTGAGATAAGAAATATCGACATAGGAGGGCTGAAATAGATGTAAAAGAACTGAGATAAGAAATATCGACATAGGAGGGCTGAAATAGATGTAAAAGAACTGAGATAAGAAATATCGACAAAGGAGGACTGATATAATTATAGAAGGATTGAAATAAGAAATATCGACATAGGAGGGCTGAAATAGATGTAAAAGAACTGAGATAAGAAATATCTACATAGGAGGGCTGAAATAGATGTAAAAGAACTGAGATAAGAAATATCGACATAGGAGGGCTGAAATAGATGTAAAAGAACTGAGATAAGGAATATCGACATAGGAGGGCTGAAATAGATGTAAAAGAACTGAGATAAGAAATATCGACATAGGAGGACTGAAATAGATGTAAAAGAACTGAGATAAGAAATATCGACATAGGAGGGCTGAAATAATTATAAAAAGGACTAAAATAAGAAATATCGACATAGGAGGACTGAAATAGATGTAAAAGAACTGAGATAAGAAATATCGACAAAGGAGGACTGAAATAGATGTAAAAGAACTGAGATAAGAAATATCGACATAGGAGGGCTGAAATAGATGTAAAAGAACTGAGATAAGAAATATCGACAAAGGAGGACTGATATAATTATAGAAGGATTGAAATAAGAAATATCGACATAGGAGGGCTGAAATAGATGTAAAAGAACTGAGATAAGAAATATCGACAAAGGAGGACTGATATAATTATAGAAGGATTGAAATAAGAAATATCGACATAGGAGGGCTGAAATAGATGTAAAAGAACTGAGATAAGAAATATCTACATAGGAGGACTGAAATAGATGTAAAAGAACTGAGATAAGAAATATCGACATAGGAGGACTGAAATAGATGTAAAAGAACTGAGATAAGAAATATCGACATAGGAGGGCTGAAATAGATGTAAAAGAACTGAGATAAGAAATATCGACATAGGAGGGCTGAAATAATTATAAAATGGACTAAAATAGGAAATATCGACAACTGAAGAGAAGTATATACAATCAAAATGAATTGATATCATATAAACACGATTTTCGTTGGTCAAGTAGAAATGAGGTCTGTCTCTCTATGTTGTCAAAATATATTTTGAAACAATGTAGCGTTACTCTTCTGCATCTTGGGCCATAGTGTCACTGACGAATCCTGGAGTGAATCTATATCATCTGTCTATATCTCATTCTAGATCTGCCAAAACAGTGTTTTAAATCTGATGCCATTCACTCGTTTGTCGCATATAATACATATTTCAATTATGACTCAATGTCACATCAAGTTATTAATAACATTGTTATCACTACATTTGTTTTTGTAAAATGCAGTTTTCACCATTGTGTAAACATTATCAGAGTTCACTATTTCGTGAATTCCAGTTTACTCCCACAAAACCTGATGCAAGATTTTCAGAAGTGTTGTGATATTAATGAAGAATTTGTGTTTTTTTTTTGTCATTTATTTCTAAACCACATGAGCTCTTGATGACTTTTTGTCCACTAGGATCACTAAGTGGTTTTGCGAGTCTGATTTCCGCTTTATCTTTGATACTATCTCACCAGAGTTTTCTGTTGGATTTCTGCTGCCGCTTGCCATAGTCTCCACAGTTTCAGAACTAGATTCGTGACTTGAAGAACTAGGTTTAAAAGTTTCCTCACGTGGTTTATCTAGGTCATCGTGACTATCGATATCATTAATTATTTGGTTTTCAGACACTTGCACACGTGCAATTTCAATATCTGCTACAGTCCAAGTCTCTTCATAATGTCTTATGACGTCATTGAAAACTTCCCGAAAATGCAGGTTGTCGACGTCAACATTTTGCTCCGTTGGAGCTTGTAAAACCTTTCTCAATAACCAGGGGACCATACCACTAGCGATCACTGTGAGGGTTTGGTTAGTGCCCGGGGTTTCTGTCTCCTCGCTGAACGCCAACGCAACTAGCAAGATCAAAAACAAGAAAACGAAAATCTTCAAAATGGTTATCAAAACAGCTCGGAGGCTTTCTCCAAGAGGTCCTGGGATTCCCGAACAGTCCATGACAGACGTTTCAGTGAAAAATTTCCTCGGTATAAAAGGCGTGTCCTTTTTGTCCAAAAAGAACATCAACTGTCTCGTTCTCCACAGCAAGACATCTGCTTCGTGTGAGAGTTTGAGGTCGTTACTGGTCTCTTGAAGAATTTCTGGTTTCCCTAAAGGTGCCTCACCAGTCAACCGAAATGCCGTGTTTTTTTGGAGGTTTTCATTGAGTAATGACACTTTAATAACATCTGTCCTTGTTTTCTTCATCGCTTCAGAAATAATGATATTGATAAACTTTATGTATCGATTTGTCACACCATCAAATAAGTCTTTAATATAAAAAGTCAGCATTAGCGATAAGATGACGTATGTGGTTGTAAATGACGCGTTAAGCAGCAGACCGATCAGGACATAAATGAATATATCGACATAGAACGATATACTGTCAAGTGACACAAATATTAGCACCGGAATCGAACAGACCAGAATGAGTATGATAAATGTGTCGGCTGGTGAACACAACTTGTCCGTTTCATCGTCATTGTTATCTGAATCTACTGCATCCGTATTTTGTATAAAAATGGGATCGAGCCCTAATCCATCCGACACGTGCTTGGCGATTGCTCGTACACAGCTACTTCTAGACAAACAGCCACACTTGTTAGATAGGACATAAGTGAAAAGGTAGATTGGCATTGACAGAGTCAGGTTGATAGTAGGGAGTAGGTAGAAGATGAAGTTAAACACGACGAAAGGAAGAAACAGTACGAAATAAAACAGAGCAAGAATCCGACCTAACATGTTACTCTGTTGTACGACGGAACGACACGCTTTATATATCGTTTGGAATGCCTGTTTTGTATGCCTTTTCCGCGAGTCCCGTAAACACTGTTTCAATATCTCCAAGACGATATCAACTTGATGTGTTCCTCGAATCTTGAAGAATTGTACAAGTACAAAAAGAGCAATGAGAATTAGATATGTGAGATATATCTGTATCCGCGGGATAAAGGTAACTCCAAAACTACTATATTGTAAAACGTTGGCGTTCAGTTCGAGTTTTTTTAAACTGTTGGTAATATACCAATCTGGGATGGTTTGAACCACGAAGAAAATTATTCTTATAACGAATGGAATGTTGACAAACGTAATGATAACAAGTAGATGTGCAGTATTCAATAACTTCCCTTTGAGTATGCTGAAATATTCTCGAAACGAATTTCCTTCGTTAAATGAGCGTCTGCGCTGTTCATACTGACTAAACATATTGAATAGCATGGTAAAGGGTCCAAATGGATCTGTGTCCTTACCAATTAAGTTGTCCCTTTCAACATAGAAATGTATCTTCTCGAGTGTACAATCGTACGTGAGATTGTCATTCAGAGTGGCCAGAGTGCTGCAAAATCTTGGCATATCATTAAAATATATTTTTGGAATTTCAAGTGATCCTTTTGTCACACGACAACGGTCAGACAATTTTGTAACATGGATTTGGAGTGGGGTGCCAACCCTGTGTTGATAGAATATATCAGTGCTATCGTCCCGGAACAGGTCATAAGGGATCAACAATGGTGCGAACATAAGTGCAATGAATGGTAAGACGAGAATGCTTAGTAAGAAAATGTTCATCCAAGTGGTTCGTTCCAGTTCATAACAACTTGTCTCAAAAACAGCATCCTTTTGACAACATACAAAATACACTTGGGTATTTGTTGGTGTCTCGTTAAATCTGAATCTCGCGTTACATATGTCACTGCCAATCCAGGAGGTATTTGTAATAGGATCAGTATTAAGGTTGTTCAGAATAAGGGTTTGAATATCCTCTCCAATTTGCGACGCTGACCTTTGACCCAAACATCCCTCTGGACTGTCTGTTAGTTGAACGTCTAATCTAGCAACGCCGTATCGCAGACTCGTCAGGGACAACATCTCAAAGTCCTGCCTAAGCCAGAGTAGACCCTTGCCATGATTTCCTGACACGTGAACCCATGTCAAGGGCTGCGGGGTTTCCATAGAAATAGGGGTCTCTCGATTCTCATTTTTGAAGGAGAAAGTCACGATGAGCATATGGTTCCCCAAGATCAACGCTTGCTTCAAATCCTCCGAATCCTTATTGACGACAAGGCTGCAGTTTTTACCGGACAGTGACGGGAAAGAAGGTTCAGTTCCAGTAGAATCAGGGTTAAAAATGGTACTGGTGTTGTCCGGAAGACTTCGAACGGTAGAAAATCTGTCGTTGCTAACATTCGTAGAAATATTTTGACAATCAACCGCTACAATAAGTGACAGCAGGACGATGAAAAGCATCTTGATATTTCCCGATTTCTCCCGTTCCTGGACTTGATGGGATTGTAATTTCCCCTGGAAATGGAACATACTGTAGTATTACTTCCAATCCACATGTCGATCTTAAATACTTTAAATAGCAGAAAGAAGTTAAAAAACAAAGAAGGAATATGCATAGCCCATAACTAATGTTTATGATAATTATATAAGATTTTATTAAAACACACATTTATCCAACAAAAACAGTTATTCGTTGGAAGATAAGCATACTATATTTTACATTTAGGGTCATTGTTTTGATTATACTAATAAACACAAGTGATTGTATCCTTCTTTTTTTCCACATATCATTACTTACAGAATACTTTGTATAGAAATTGCACAAGTACTTTTGTTATTTAAAAGCTTGGTAGATTTCGATGTGTTTAGAACTTGCAACCAACGTAAATATTTGCAAAATAAAAAAAGAGGAAAATTGTTCCCTGGTTTTATTGGATTATAAGAAGTGAGAAAATGAACTTTGAAAGCAATTTCCTTTTTAGAACCATAAAGCTGTGTGTCATATGTAAATGAGTTTTGAAGTGGCTGTCAGTTCATCTATGTTGTAATTGATATACTTGGTATACTTGAAGATGTCTTCTCGCGTTCTTTCGGCCGTAAAATCGGTTATTCTTTTAAATAGTTGAAAACGAATTCTGTTATAAAATAATTTATATAGTAACTTTTCAGAATATTTTTATTTCGACATTAAACTAAAATAAAAATAATAACCATTTATAATTTTAAAAAGAGCACTATTTAACAATATATTTTGCTTATGTGTAAATATTGTGAATTTTCAGGTTACATCATGTTATGTTGAAATGGCCAATGATACAAGATACATAAGCAAATGTCTTTATTCAGTACTGATTTGAAATGAGATACTCTATAGCCAAGTGATGAGTTATACTTGTTATATAGTTGAGGGAACTCGTGAAGGAGATTATAGGAAACGGAAGATTATTAATCAAGTGATGAAGTAGCCCCTTGTTTCACCTGTTAGTGTCACTATACAGTACGTTTTATCAAAATGAATAGTTGCATAATAAATCTTAGTGGGTAAAAACTTAAATCCACAGCTTTTAAAGTATATGATGATGCAAAAAAACTTTCATCCTAACTTTTTGTTCATGTTATGATAGATGTGTTAAATATCTATATAATAATATGTATTTAGGATCACATCAAATATGTGAAATTTTGAATGTTATTTCAATATCCTTCAAACAATACCCGAGACTACCTGCTATAACTTACCTTTTCAGTGAACTTTGTTAACGGTGTAGTACGGTTTGTACTCCAGTAGTGTATGCCCTGTGGAAAGTTTCATTTAATTTCCCTATTTGTCCTTATTGAAGTACACATATCCGGGGTTCTGTAAAGGGGAAGTGTATATACCTAATACATACGAAAGACAAGTGAAAGTAAAAATAAAACTCAGCTCATACTATAGGCAACAGCTGTTAGAGGTGAAAATCTTTATCCTATGGTAATATATGCTAATACAAATTCTTTGAAAAGCATAGGAGCATCACCTGGGAGAATATTGTCAATATAAATATATCGATAATCATACGTTAATGTAATGGTTGAAAATAATATGGTTCATAATAACTGAGCAACTTATTGTGAAATTAAATTGTACTAAAAAGACGATAATTGGCGGGTGTACTGGATGGAGGTTTTCTTGCTACACATATGTAGCACTGATGTAGGCCTTCTGGGGCCCTGCAAAGCAGCGAATTTGCTAATCTTTGGGTCTATGAATCAGTTGAGAGAAGTGGTGTTACTGCACAGATTTAGGTTCGAAAATCGATTGGGTGGTCGGGTGGCACAGTGTTAACACACTCACCTTTCACCTAGGCGTCCTGGGTTCGATTCACGGAACGGACGTAGGTATTTGTGTTTCACCTGCATGTCAGTGTGGTGATGGTAATGAAGAAACGTACCATTATTTATTTTGTCTGTTCAAAATTTTCTTATCCTCGAATCAGATTGTTTGATGCTCTGTCAAACATTGGTACCTTTTTGAAACAAATGGTAACATAATATTTGTTGTACAGTCATTTATAAAAACACGTTTGATACTAACTAGTGGACAGCTGCTGCAACCAGAACCCCACCTACCCACATCCTTATGTCCCCTTCTTTCTCCTCCATCCTAATTCTTCCTTTCTCTTCTTACTGTCACATTTTTTAGTAGTTTGTGTATACGATAGACCTTTTTGCCATCACGTTATATCTTAAGTCATGTCTTGTGTTGTCAGGAGAGGGCCTAGCAAGTTGTCAGAACTTTAGCCCAATTCCTTTAGTTGTTTTTTTTAATCAATGAAATATATTTGCACGAATGCTAAAGCTGGTGTTTTTTGTAACTTTGTAACTCGAGTGAAAGAAATATTGTACAACAACCGGTCATTGTGTAACCTCTATACATCTATGTGTATTTTTGTAATCTAACCCACTGGATTGATGTGTAATAAGAGAACTAATTAACCGTTTGTGTAAAGGTTTCTGGTCCATCCATGTCAACTCATTCAAATACAATCAATCGTAGGTTGAAGATGCAAGGATGTATCCATTATATACAGAGAGAACAACATCTTGCTCTCTGCAGTTTACAACACTGATCAAGATTTAGGAAATTTAAGAGGAAGATGACATAATACATTCATACGTAGTTTCTAGACCGCGGGCTTCTGACGAATGTCCAAAAGTAATTTTTCATCCTGAGATTAAAAGAAAGGAAATACCAGCATGATAACATAATTATAATCAAAACTCAGATTCAATAAATCGAGGACAACAAATCATCAAAATAAAGATTAACGCAGAGACTCCTGGAAAAAACATAATGTGAATAAGACCATGTGTTCCGAAAAGTAGGCGTCTTCTGCTATATCGATGACATCCGCCATGTAAACCTTGGTATATTCAAGTAAGTAATGCCATGTTCTTAAATGAGAACAAGGTATAAACAATGGAACCAAGGATTGTACAAAAGACATGTAAGTGAATAATTACCTTCGTATAGAATGTTTGAAATAAACAAAGTCAACTATATAAATTGAACTGCATCATACAACTGTTTCCTCCCATCTAGAACTCGTCAGTGATACATAGGGCCTAAAGTTTGAAGTCTAGTCCAAAAATAGTCGGAAGTCAAATATCAGATAGAAAGTTGCATTTACCCTAAAATGGAATACATTTCGTAATTCTGATATTAGACAAATTCAAAAGAAAGCCAAATGCATGTTAATGTATTGAAACGTGACATGTGGGTCATGACAAACTTCGAGGTCCTAAAGCAGCTTACTGATTGGCAAATAATAAATTAAACTGTATTTACAACTATTTAGCCCTCTAAGACTCGTCAGTGGCAAAATGATGCTGGATTTTGCAGGCCAATTATTAAGAAACAAGTACATTTTATATTTTATAAAAGCTAAGAAACGTTGTTTTTACTTTAAAATTCATTTGAATTTAAAAATCGTTATTTTATGTTTTTATCTACGTAGCCAGTATTGCTGAAGACTAATAACAATTATGCTGAACCATTTTTGGAGAAAAAAAATCTTATGTGAATCAAATTGTGGAACATCAGAGAGACAAAATCGACATGTCATTGAATAGATAAGACATTACACATCTGCCTATACACTTAAACATCCGTAGTCTACTGACTGAGCACATCATCCTTATGTTGTGTACACACACATAAGATAATTGTACTAAGTCTCTCCATAGGCACACTCTACATAGAGTGTTTCTCCCGAGCCATAGACCGCAATGATGCAGAAAGTTACTGTACATGGGCGTGACCTTTAATATAATGTGTGCCTTCTACGATATCCGCTTGAACATTGCATGCCTATAGTTTAAAGGTATGTATTTGCTTTACACTGCTGACAACACATACTGACAATATATTCACTGCTGTTAACGAAACGTCACAGATTCACGACAGCGTTTGATGCCGGAACGTTGATTGAAGCAGAGGCGATATCAAAATGTTTTTGTCTTGCTTCACGGGACTGAGTCTGACCTAGATAATTACGGCGTGGGTTTCTATATATAGACTAGACCGTAATATCCTGCTATATGTCATGTTTGTATATTGCACTAACATAAATTCTTCCGTTTATTCCTATGGACCGAGCATTTTTAAGGAAACACTATTAATAAATGATTACATCAGATCGACAACACAACCCTCTGTTTTGCATGAAAAATTAATATTGTGACATGAAAGGTATGGTCGGAACCGAGATTTGCTCAGAATTATATAGAATTTTACAAAATAAAATCATGTAAATAATAAATATAAATGTTAAAGCAGAAAAATGCAAGTAGTATTTCGGATTTATTAAACAGACGTTAGTGCTAGCAGCTGAAATCCTAAAACATCGCTGAACACTAATTTAAGATCATTTCCCAACCCCTTAAGAGTTTTAGCGCAGGAAACGAGGAATCAGAACGCGCGGTAAGTGTGGGACTAGGGGATGGTATGTTGAAGTATTACACTACACTGACTTTCCAATTTTAACATGCTTCATATTCATGTGATGATATATAGAGCTGCACGGTCTTATTTCTCGTGAATGGCATGTGTATACTTTCTGCATATGACTTCCTCGTTCCTGGTGTCGACGGAAGAACAACAACACTAGAGCGTACTATTGTTATCTTACAATCAGACCTGTTACTTTTCAGTCCTATCGTGTCTAAACGTTCTAAGTTCTAATGACACAAATGTTTGTTATTCTACGACTCTCGCCACTCTCATATATCAACAAACTATGATTGATATATTTAAATAACTATATTCAATTATTAATTCATTTTAATTATGCATAGTTATGGTATGACGTTGCTGAGGAATGATTAACTTTATACAGATGTGATTCACCGAATCATTTGGATAATTACATTTGTCAATATTAATAAATACACATGTACGTAATTACTTTCAGTTCTAAAAATAGCATCCTAAATATGCTTACGTGATATGGTGATTGGGGTGTATATCCTGGCACAGGGACTTGGCAAATAATACATACATATGGACCGTGGGTTGGAAATTCGTGCCAAGTCCCTGTGCCTCCGGGAATAATATGTCGTTTCAGACTATCTGCTCTTCAACATTTCAATACTGAACTCCCTCGAACGCAATTACACGAATTTAATTGGCATAGGTGTACAAAAGTATGCTTATGAAATGTTTGATGCTGGGAGAAAAGTGGTTTAGCAAAGGCGAGGAGGGGGAAGGGGAGGAGGGGTGGGTTCGTAAGGTCTCACAGAGATGTACTAGGTGAAGGAGTGTAAAAGTATAATAATGTACATACATTTGGGGTTTGGACTTGCGCTTTAAATCTCAATTAGCAAACTAGTTATTTCGTCTTGTCCACGAGGTGTCGCACATGGAACCTTCAGTTTTTTCATGACATGTTCCGGGGGTGCAGAGAGCGAAAATAAGCGTAATCCCTGGAATATCGAGGATAATTGAGACAGGGGAGGTAACTCCTTGAATGTTTATACTGATTAGTATATGTTTTTAAAAAATCTCCCTTCACAATTAGAAGTAAAGTCATATATATATATTATCATTGACGACACCAGCAATGTAAATTTTATTTAATTCACATAAATCGTGACATGTTTTCAACACAAGGTTTATAACGACGGAACCAACAGGTAAACTAACGAGCTTCAAGCGCCATTTTTTTATATCGCACAAAGGAATATAATATTTTCTCTATGAGATCACTGACGACCGTAAATGTTCCTTATGATTTTCATTAACCTGCATCCTTTCAAACCCTGTGCATCAGTCAGTCCGCAAATTGACATCTTGCACGAAAATCGTGATATTGGGAACAGGTCTTCGTATTTTGTATCAAACGCGACGTGTAAACGCCATATGCTTTGGGAAATTGGAAAAATGGAAAATTCACAACAGGGAAATTAAAATAATCGCACTTATCATACAACTTGCTGGAAAGCTGTCTATGTTGGTTTCGTTGTAGGAAAACATTGAGGAAACGGCTGAAACGGCTTCAGTTTGCCTGTTGGTTCCGTTGTTGCATACCTTGTTTTCATTTGAGAACGCGACATTACTAACTTGGATTGACTGCAACACCTGGCCTTATTCTCCTTGTACTTTTTTTGGTACTTTCATTTGTTCATAGCTTTCGCCCTAGTTTTATGGAATTTGAGTTTGGATTATGATTATGTTGACATGTTGGTATTTTTTTTTTTAATTTTCGATTTTATACTGCATTAGTACATATTACTTATTAACTTAATTTGATATCTTTATTTTACAGAAATAAATTCGTGCCAGATATAAGGATAACCTACCAGACCATTAAATAGAGAAGCGAAAATGGCTGCCGGTATGAATGGAATTTTGGTGGTATCGTTTACGCTAATGATGGTGTGTCTTATAGCTGACGGACAAAACATTTCCTCACAGGGTACAAGCTGCAGTTTATCTGCTGATAAAAACAGTGAGGATTTTAAAAACGCATTGGACACTGGGTACAATATGCTATTCATGATCTTCTCGTACAGTAATATAAGCCAAGAAATCCCTATTTCTATGTATACTCCTCAACCCCTTACATGGGTCCACGTGTCAGGAAACCATGGAAAGGGTCTGCTTTGGCTCAGACAGAACTTTGAGACGTTGTCCCTGACGAGTTTGAGATACGGAGTCGCCAGTATGGATATTCAACTATCAGATAATCCAGGGGGATGTTTAAGTTCAAAATCGGCGTCGGAAATAGCAGAAGATGTACAAAATTTTATTCTTAATAACATTGCTGACCCCGTCAACAACAACACCTGGATAGGAAGCGAAATATGCAACGCTAGATTCAGGGACGGTGAGACGGGCACTGAAGTTTATTTTGTGTGTTGTACAAAGGATGAAGAATTTCAGACAACCTGCAATGAACTAAAACGTAACAAATGGATGGATGTTTTCTTTTTGTGTATCATCGTGTTACCATTGGTAGCTCTTATGTTTGCTCCTTTGCTGATACCCTTCGATCTGTTCCGCAGTAACACAAGTGACGTATACTTCCAACATAAGCTCGACATTCCACTTCACGTCAATGTTACGAAACGTTCTGATGACCATCACGAAGAAAAGGTTCCGATTGAAATACCAGAAAGGTATTTTAAAGATATGCCGAGATTCTGTAAATCTCTTGCCACATTTAATGAAAATATCAAGTATGATTGTACGCTGGAGAAGATCCATTTTTACGTCGACAAAGACGAGTTAATTGAAAAGGACGCCGATCCATTTGGACCCTTCACTATGCTGTACGATATGCTTGCCCGATACGAACTGAGGAGACGTGATTTTAGCGACAGTAGGTCAGTTCGAGAATTTTTTAGTGTACTTTCAGGAAAGATTTTGAATACTGCGTATTTGTTACTGATCATTAGTTTGGTTAATATCCCAGTTATAATAAGATTAGCGGTCTTCTTTTCGTATACTGAACCAGCGTGGTTTATTGTCAACAGCTTAGAAAAGCTTCAGCTGAATGCTGACCTTCTACAATATAACAGCTTTGGAGTCAGTGTTATTCCTCGTCTTGAGCTGTACATTATATATCTAATTCTTCTAGGACTTTTCGTTCTTGTACAGTTCTTCAAGATTCGAGGGTCACGCCGAATAGATGTAGTTATTGAAATTCTGAAACAGTGTTTACGGGATTCGCGTAAACGGCGGATAAAATTAGCCTTCCAAACGATATATAAAGCGTGTCGTTCCGTCGTACAACAGAGTAACATGTTAGGTCGGATTCTTGCTCTGTTTTATTTCGTACTGTTTCTTCCTTTCGTCGTGTTTAACTTCATCTTCTACCTACTCCCTACTGTCAACCTGACTCTGTCAATGCCAATCTACCTTTTCACTTATGTCCTATCTAACAAGTGTGGCTGTTTGTCTAGAAGTAGCTGTGTACGAGCAATCGCCAAGCACGTGTCGGATGGATTAGGGCTCGATCCCATTTTTATACAAAATACGGATGGAGTAGATACAAAGGACGACGAAGACGACGAGAATGACGAAGATAGTAAGTTGTGTTCGCCCGCTGATATGTTGATTATACTAATTCTAGTTTGTTCCATGCCTTTGATAATTTTCATTGTACTAGATTGTATGTCTTTCTACATTGATATCATGATCTACGTTTTGATTGGTCTGCTTTTAAACGCGTCATTTACAACGAAATACGTGATCTTAGCTCTCATGCTCGGATTTTATATTCGGGATCTATTTGGCGGTGTGACAAATCGCTACATTAAGTTTAATAATACCATTATCGCTGAGGCAATGAAGAAAACAAAAGAGGACATCCTCAAGGTATCTCTACTGAATGAAAATATCCAGAAAAATACGGCATTCCAATTAAAGGATGAAACACCTCTTGGCGATCCCGATGCAGAGAAAGCGAGCACCATACCAAGTGACAACTTCAGCTTAGGTCACGATGATGTAAACCTGTTCTGGAAAACAAAACGGCTGATGTTCTTTTTGGACAGAAAAGACACGCCTTATATTCCAAGGAATTTCTTCTCGCAGGCGTGTATAATGGATTGTGTAGGCGTGCCTGGGCCACTGGGCCAGAATCTTATTGATGTCATCAACAGCATTTTAAGAATTTTCTTCTTCTTATTTTTCATCATGATCGTAGCTTTGTCGTTCGGTGAAGAATCTGATTCCATTAGCACAAACCAAACGCTCACAGCCATAGCTGGAGGTCTCATTCCCTGGTTATTTAGAAAATATTTGCAGGCACCTGAGGACATAGGGGTTGACATTGAAAATCTCCATTTTCGCGAAGTGTTAAACGATGTAATAAGAGAGTATGATGAGTCCTGGACAGTGGCGGATATCGAAATTACTAATACTCAGGTATCGCCCGATCAAACAGTCGGGGTGAATGATATAGAAGGCAATGAAATTCGGGACCAGTCAGAGGAAAATCTGTTGAAGGCAGAACGCTTCAGCTCTCTCTCTGAAACCTCAGAATCTGATAAAAAAGACACGTTACTAAGTGAAAGAAGGAATAGTTCTTCGAAGGACAATGTTTATGAGCATGAAACTACATCAGTATCGCGGCAGATCTCTGTCATTCAAGACCATTTAGTTGTTTTAATTGATAAGAATGATAAGAAACCAATAAGAGCGGTAGTGGTTTAAATGTTGTCATTCAAAATAATAGTTTAAAGAAGTATCGCCGTTACTATCCAAACTATAAACAGGAAGTGTTCAGTTATATACAAATAGGTAACCGGCAAACACGGAAAACGGGAATGCACATATATATTATATGAAGTGGAATTAAAAAAAATGGATGTGGAATTTGTAAAATGAAATAGAATTGAAAAAAAAATCTTAGCTCTGTTATTGATTAGCATTTACACTGTGGTGATAATGTAAGAATTCATCTTTTATCTTTGGTTATGATATAACTTTTAGAATTGATGATTTAAGTTTTGTAGCTTTTAGCAATTAGAGCGATGCTTTCTGGACATTGAAATTCGTCAATTTTACTGTTAGGACGCAAATGAATCAAAAGTTAAATAAGGTGGTTATACATCAATACTTTCCCGTTAACTTTTTCTCTAATTTGGTATATTGAAATAGTTTTGAAATCAATTCGAGTCAGCTAATGCCTTAAAAGGGTAGAGTACCGCGTCAAACACCTTATTTAAAATGACGTCGACAACAAACATCCTATTTACAGCGGCGTCGTCTTGTTGCCAAGCGTATCGTTCAACTATCTGATGCCAAGTAACTTTTTATGAACTCCACTTTTTTGTGTTGGACCTCCTTTTTTATTACAAACATGTGATAAAAAGAAAATGGATTGTTTTTCCAGTAAATAATAATATAGTGTATCACTCGTATGACAGAATTTATCTTTATTTTTTATCGTGTTTCGTAAAAATATAAATACTCGTGGTAGGCTGCTGTAAGTCCAACTTAAATTGGTTTCGAATGCATCTGAGACTACTGACAATTAACAGCATTGTGGAATCTTCACTATATTTTCATTTTTGTTTCTGTTAATATCATGTTTTTATTTTTTTGTTAATATCATGTTATTTCTATTTTTGTTTTTGTTAATATGCTGTTCTTTAGATAACTGCATTATTTTGTTTTTATCGAATAAAAAGGATGTCAAACATTAAAGTGAATGTAATTCTTAATGAGAGTAAGCAAAAGATTTTTTTTCAAAAAGACTTGTCGGAGATAGAAAAAGCTATCTATTAAAAAAAATGTGCCTTTCATATAAACAATAAAAAACACTCTGAAATATAGAGTTGTGTGTATGATATTATAATTTTAATATTTGTGTTTGATATGTTTATACAAACGTATTTAAGTTTACGTCATCTCTATTTTCTAACAAATTTTCTTGTTCCTTTAACAATTAAATTTTGTATTAACGTTTGAAATTGATATTTTATATTGTGTGTTTATATATGTATGTGTGAATTATGGTAAAACGATGAACTACAGTTATGTATATTGATTAAAAAAAAGTGCTTCAAGAACTACTTAGGTACACCTGTGATTTTGATACATCTGATGTTTTTTTATTTTTGAATATTTTGGTGTAATCTCATGGCTTTCGCTTTCAAATATTTACGATATTTGGGTGATTGGATGACGCCTTTTAGCCAGCCGCCCGGGCTTCAGTTCCCGAACGGATGTGTAAAGGTTTTAACTACGGTTCTCCATGTCCTTCCACCATAAGACCACCTGCGTGGTTACATCAGGACCAACTAGAGCAATTAATTTATGTTGAAATAATTTGTTTCGCAATTGTTGTAAAATAGATAAATTTTATTAGGTCATCGGAAACAAAGTCTCTAGTGACCTATAGCGATACAATTTTGTCCATCGTCCATCGTCCATCGTCTAGCGTCCGTCCTCCGTCCTCCGTCCTCCGTCGTACGTCCGAAAACTTTTTTCATTTTTTGACATATTCTGGAATACCATTGAACTGATTTTAATGAAACTTGATAGAAACCTTCCATGGTCAAAGTTAAATCAAAGTTGTAAAATTATATGGTCCCCATCCCCATGGGTCATTTAGCAGCATTCCAAAAAAAAAAAGGTCAAACTGACTGAGATTAAAAAAAAAAATTCTCAATATTCAAAAATGGTAGAATCAAATATTCTTCATGGATGGAATGGTCTCAAAGAAAAATTCCTCGGTCCCTGTACAAATAGCATTTCTCATTTTCTCATTTGCTGTATACTACTCATTACAATTGTATCCTGTTGTGAGTTCACGTCGGTGACCGTTAAGGCCCCTTTGGCCTCTTGTCTTTTTATAACTGATGGTTAACGTAAATGCTCCTGATGGAAACATGTCTAACAAGAGTGCCATTAACTGTGTGTCTTGTTTAACATTGTGCCTTAACCATTACTAACATTGCTGATGTGTTCACTATGATGTTCGGATTGAATTGGGATAAAAATTTCTACGTCATCAATTCATGTGTTTCATGCTATTTTGTAATGGTTAGATACATGCAAATTATGAATTTATTAAAACATTGAATAAGAGCGCCTCACCATATAGATATTGATATCTTATATTGTTTTTTTTAATTTTCATCAGTCGCCTCCTTGATCCTAGGTCCCATAGTATTACTACAGTACATACAGCTGTATAATTAATGGTGTTTAATTAATTATCTGACTCTACATATATGTGCCTTGCATATTTTTGCTATATTTGGAAAATTGTATTTTAACGTGTGCATTAATTCGTCAATTTTTTTCCGGATATACTGAATGATTCATTAAAAATGGAAATGACTGTTTAGATAAGTGAGTTTATTTGTTGTAACAATCAAATTTATTGACAAAATCTAATAAAATTGCTTTTTATATCCATATAAATGTTGACCTATATTTCCGCGCGGAGCGTAATTCGTAATCAAGTACAATTTATCATGGTCTCAACGGCAAATAAACACAGATTGAATAGGTTTAAAGTGATGAAGTTCACGATAGTATGAATTTTCACAAAGTTTTCATGACAAATGGAATGCATTGTCAGTGTCTTAAAATATAAGCTGCGTTTTGGCTCGGGACAGAAAGACGAAAGGGGATCGCCAAAGCCTCGTCACTTTTGTCGTTCTTCACCGTCGCCAAACAGTTTTATATTTTAATTCGCTAACTGATAAGAAGAAGACAACATCTTTATTGCATCTCCTTCATACTCCACCATCTGGATTTGTAAAAAAAAAAGGAAACACAAAAACAAAAAAAACAAAAAAAAACAAAACAAAAAAAGAGAAAAAAAGAGAAGAAAGAATGAAAAGAATCTGGTTTGTTCTAGCATTGTTTTAGCCTAGATTTAAGACTGTGGTCTGTTCTAGCATTGTTTTAGCCTAGATTTAAGACTCTGTGGTCTGTTCTAGCAGTGTTTTAGCCTAGTTTTAAGACTCTGTGGTCTGTTCTAGCAGTGTTTTAGCCTAGTTTTAAGACTCTGTGGTCTGTTCTAGCAGTGTTTTAGCCTAGATTTAAGACTCTGTGGTCTGTTCTAGCGGTGTTTTAGCCTAGTTTTAAGACTATGGTCTGTTCCAGCAGTGTTTTAGCCTGTGGTCTGTTCTAGCATTGTAGCCTAGATTTAAGACTCTGTGGTCTGTTCTAGCAGTGTTTTAGCCTAGTTTTAAGACTCTGTGGTCTGTTCTAGCAGTGTTTTAGCCTAGTTTTAAGACTCTGTGGTCTGTTCTAGCAGTGTTTTAGCCTAGTTTTAAGACTCTGTGGTCTGTTCTAGCAGTGTTTTAGCCTAGTTTTAAGACTCTGTGGTCTGTTCTAGCAGTGTTTTAGCCTAGTTTTAAGACTCTGTGGTCTGTTCTAGCGGTGTTTTAGCCTAGTTTTAAGACTCTGTGGTCTGTTCTAGCGGTGTTTTAGCCTAGTTTTAAGACTCTGTGGTCTGTTCTAGCGGTGTTTTAGCCTAGTTTTAAGACTCTGTGGTCTGTTCTAGCAGTGTTTTAGCCTAGTTTTAAGACTATGTGGTCTGTTCTAGCAATGTTTTAGCCTAGTTTTAAGACTCTGTGGTTTGTTCTAGCAGTGTTTAAGCCTAGTGTTAAGACTCTGTGGTCTGTTCTAGCGGTGTTTTAGCCTAGTTTTAAGACACTGTGGTCTGTTCTAGCGGTGTTTTAGCCTAGTTTTAAGACACTGTGGTTTGTTCTAGCGGTGTTTTAGCCTAGATTTAAGACTGTTTGTTCTAGCAGTGTTTTAGCCTAGTTTTAAGACACTTTGGTCTGTTCTAGCGGTGTTTTAGCCTAGTTTTAAGACTCTGTGGTCTGTTTTAGCGGTGTTTTAGCCTAGTTTTAAGACTATGGTCTGTTCCAGCAGTGTTTTAGCCTAGTTTTAAGACTCTGTGGTCTGTTCTAGCAGTGTTTTAGCCTAGTTTTAAGACTCTGTGGTCTGTTCTAGCAGTGTTTTAGCCTAGTTTTAAGACTCTGTGGTCTGTTCTAGCGGTGTTTTAGCCTAGTTTTAAGACTCTGTGGTCTGTTCTAGCAGTGTTTAAGCCTAGTTTTAAGACTCTGTGGTCTGTTCTAGCAGTGTTTAAGCCTAGTTTTAAGACTCTGTGGTCTGTTTTAAGACACTGTGGTTTGTTCTAGCGGTGTTTTAGCCTAGTTTTAAGACTCTGTGGTCTGTTCTAGCAGTGTTTTAGCCTAGTTTTAAGACTCTGTGGTCTGTTCTAGCAGTGTTTAAGCCTAGTTTTAAGACTATGTGGTCTGTTCTAGCAATGTTTAAGCCTAGTTTTAAGACTCTGTGGTCTGTTCTAGCAGTGTTTTAGCCTAGTTTTAAGACTATGTGGTCTGTTCTAGCTGTGTTTAAGCCTAGTTTTAAGACTCTGTGGTCTGTTCTAGCGGTGTTTTAGCCTAGTTTTAAGACTCTGTGGTCTGTTCTAGCATTGTTTTAGCCTAGTTTTAAGACACTTTGGTCTGTTCTAGCGGTGTTTTAGCCTAGTTTTAAGACTCTGTGGTCTGTTCTAGCAGTGTTTAAGCCTAGTTTTAAGACTCTGTGGTCTGTTTTAGCGGTGTTTTAGCCTAGTTTTAAGACTATGGTCTGTTCCAGCAGTGTTTTAGGCTAGTTTTAAGACTCTGTGGTCTGTTCTCGCAGTGTTTTAGCCTAGTTTTAAGACTCTGTGGTTTGTTCTAGCGGTGTTTTAGCCTAGTTTTAAGACTCTGTGGTCTGTTCTAGCGGTGTTTTAGCCTAGTTTTAAGACTCTGTGGTCTGTTCTAGTAGTGTTTTAGCCTAGTTTTAAGACTCTGTGGTCTGTTCTAGCAGTGTTTTAGCCTAGTTTTAAGACTCTGTGGTCTGTTCTAGCAGTGTTTTAGCCTAGTTTTAAGACTCTGTGGTCTGTTCTAGCGGTGTTTTAGCCTAGTTTTAAGACTCTGTGGTCTGTTCTAGTAGTGTTTTAGCCTAGATTTAAGACTCTGTGGTCTGTTCTAGCAGTGTTTAAGCCTAGTTTTAAGACTATGTGGTCTGTTCTAGCAGTAGTTTTAAGGTGGTCTGTTCTAGCAGTGTTTTAGCCTAGTTTTAAGACTCTGTGGTCTGTTCTAGCAGTGTTTTAGCCTAGTTTTAAGATGATGTCGCTATGTATTGATGTAGCGTAGTTATTTCGTTTCGGATAAATAATGCGAGAAATACGTTACTGTCCAGCAATACCAACTGCGCAGTCAGTGTCATAAGATAAATAATTAATGCGCAGAGCACTGATGTACCGGATGGTTAGGAATCGATCAACACTTTCGGCTGTAATATAATCCTATGTACACTAAGATCGAAAATTGTGTGACGAGATGGCAAAACATCATAAATATACAAGATGTTACCGTGCACCGTAGTCAGCAACACTATGGTCTCTCGCTCATTATGACCAAATGTTGCACAATGCGTTGCCTAATCACCTTTGTCTCCCAAATTAACAGAAATCAGAGTAGGGTAATAGTAGAAGTAGTAGTGACGTCACAATCTTCAACTGGTTGTGTTAAAGGAGCTACCATGGACATGACCAACATGAAGGAAATGTCCCTGACTATTGGAGTAGGATTAATTTAGTTGTTTCCCATGTTATTTACCACTTGTGATGGTATACATCAACATCTTTTTCACTCCCTATTCAAATAACATTTTCATCTTTATTTGCCTCTTATCTGGATATATTTTTTCTCTAACAAATTTACAGCCTCTTTAAATGAAGATTTTGAGTTTTATCGAATAAAAGAACATGAAAAAACTTGAATTATGCTGAAACTGATGAAATGAGATCACAAGAGTCACATTTCTTAAAATTACCAATAACAATCATATGTACAGAGTTTACTAAGGTAGAAAATTGTGTGAC